TGAAAAGAGTCTGGCCCCATCCTCCTGACCCCCACCCTGCAGATATTTAGAGGCATTTCTGAGGTCCCCTCTCAGCCTTCTCTTCTCCAGGCTAAACCAACCCAGCTCCCTCAGCCTTTCCTCGTAATGACCTGAAGTAGCTCCAAAACAGGCCTTTCTACAACCTTTAGTGGTTTAAAGGCTGTGTTATTCCATTCTCTCCAGTGCTGAGAGGAACACACCCTTATCCTTCGGTACAGCAGAGTCTCAGGGCAGTTACCTTCACGCAAAGCCACTCCCGGGGAGGGAAATGTCCACTCTGGAGACCTTGTAGCAACTGGGGCTGGCAGTAAGGGCTGCGAGTATCTGCAGACGTAGCTACCTCTGCTGTAAGTCACAGACTGAGCTGGCAGCACACTACTCCCTCGCCGTAACTTAAAGCATTCCTTGCTTATTTGGTATTAACTTACATTGTAACTGCAACTAAGCTCATAAAAAGACAAAAAAAAAAAAAGCATGTCTGTAATAATTTTTAAACCAGAGCTACAGCTGGTTTAGTGCAAGCAGCAAGGAGGACGAGGCCCAGCTGCCCCGATGACTGAGCGGTGCTGGACAGGAACAGATTTCCTCAGGCCAAGCCGCAGCATTTCTCAGAAATGCTCAGAGAAGCCAGGGATGCGGGAACAAACCTAATCAGCGCCCAGAACTTCACCCGTTCTCGGATTCTGAGGCAACCTGATATTTTTAATTGATGCTGCTTGATTTTTTTTTTTCCAGTCTTGCTGGCAGAAGGGAAATCCATTCTTCCAGATTTCCTTAAAAGGCAAGGAAAACAGGGGATGGACTTCATAACTAACAAAAAAATGAAATATTATGAGCAAACTGAAAAAAAGGACTGAGGTGAGGGAGCAGAAGGCAACGACCAGATGAGATGGGACCGCTGCTCAGAAGGAAGCATGACGTGGCAACGGCAGATGTAGAGCAGCCAGAAATGATGGTTAAAAAGATCAATCTCTGAAGTCCTTGCAACAAAGGAGCATGGGTAAGAATAAAATGGAGCGCTGCAGTTACAATTCAGCTCTACCATGTCTCTCCCACAAGGAGCACGCTGCCAAAGCGTTACCGATTTCCACAAGCAGTGGGAGGAGGAAGGGGTCGACACCGCCGAGCAGCAGGAGACTGATCTGGGGCCGAGAAAGCCCGGAGCCCACTCGTGGCACCAGGTTCGCTGGCTGATTCAAGACAAACCACTTCATCAGTGCCTCAGCTTCCACCTCCGTGGAACGGCGGTACAGATCCATCCTTTATCAAGTGTTTCCAGAGCTACTGATGAAATCCAGTGAGCAATTAACACAGGGCACTGCTGACAAAGGCGCTTAAACATACAAATTCCAACTCTATGCACAGGAAAAAAAAATAACAACCAACCTTAAGATGCAACAGTCAAATTTCCAAACAGAGTGAGAATCAACCCGCTTGTGCCAATACTCTGCCCCGTGCTCTGCAGCAATTAACACAGGGCACTGCTGACAAAGGCGCTTAAACATACAAATTCCAACTCTATGCACAGGAAAAAAAAATAACAACCAACCTTAAGATGCAACAGTCAAATTTCCAAACAGAGTGAGAATCAACCCGCTTGTGCCAATACTCTGCCCCGTGCTCTGACCGTCCTTTCTCCTCTCTCCGAGGCAGCTGAGGCGTCTCGACAACC